AAATATATATATATATATATATATATATATATATATTTCTCCTTAATTTAGAAAAATTGGATTCTCAATCCTTATGAGAATGTTTTTTTGAAAAAGTGAGTCAAAATTAATTTTTGAAAAGTTATATCTTCCAAGAATTTCTTTTAAATAATTATGAAATATGAGAAATCATTAAAAAAAAAAGTATTAAGTATACTAAATGCTCGTTACTCCTTATAATTTACATTCATGTGTGCAATGAAAGTTCTAATCAGGTTATTCTAATTAAAATGACATTTTTTTTAACAAAATTATTAAATTTAATAAATTTAACATATATAGTAGTTTATAAATTGATGAGATTACAAATCAGTACATCTATTATTTATTCATGTATAAGTTAAAAAAAAATAATAATAAATTGGATGCAATCATCCGTATATAGACTGTATTTTCTTCTCAATTTTAAAATTATACTCTCCTTAATTAATTAGTTTAATATATTTATTTAGTTCATTTTTATTCATAACCTTCACTTCAGGATCAATATTTTTCTTTTCTTGTTAGTGTTGGTACGGTTAACAATTAATATTTAATTTTCACTGTTGACATTAAGGATGAAAATTATAAGTAAAATTTCAAAGTCCATAATATAAGTGTTCAATATCATTTTATTTACTAAAATACAAATATGTCATTTTCTTGCAAATTTTTCTGAAAAAAATATTTGCAGAAATTTTTTGCGAATTTTCTTGCAATAATAATTTTACAATTTTTTTTACGAATTTATTTGTGAAAAATAATTTACAGATATTTCTTACAAACTTTTTTTATGAAAAATAATCTACAAGAAATATTTTCAAATTTTGCTACAATTTTTTTCCATGGTAAAAATTTGCAGAAAATATTGTAAAAATTTTATTTTGTTTCTTGCAAGTTTTCCTGCAAAAATAAATTCGCAAGTAATGTTTACTAAATGTTAAAAAAAATTGTAGGTAACTTTTCCTAGGAATTTTTCTGCCAATTTTAATCGGCAGGAAAAATAAAAAAAAATATTTAAATTTATAAGTTTAATATTTTAAAAAAACTTCAAATCCCATATTGATTGAAAATAAAATAATTAAAGAGTATATAAGTTGGGACAACACTTACCTTACAAGTTGATTTGTAGGAACAACATTTCCTACGAATTTTTAAGAAAAATCGCATGTAATAAGAGAAATCTTAATAATAAACGATGTTTTTAAAATTAATTTTATTCATTTTTCGTTATAAACTTTTAATTCAAATTGAATCTTATAGTTTTGATTTTAGGTGACTAATGCAAAATTAAAAGATGTTTTCCATGTTATAATTTATACAAAAACATTTTCTCTCTCTTTATTATATTTTTTTTTTTTAAGATAGAAAAGATTAAAAGTCATGACGAAGATTGAATCTAAGTCTCATACTTCTAATTATCTCAACTCCTTCTTATATAATCACTAGACTAATTCTAGTGGTTTCTTTATTATATTATTTATTACATCTTATTAAGTTTTTTTCTTTTTCATTCTTTCAGTTTTAAAATTTGTTACACTATTTAACCGATTTACAAATTTGATTTATATATTAATAATTTTTAATTTAACAGTTAAATTATTAAAATTTAACGTAAAATAAGAATTATTTATTGAAATAAATTTAAGTAGACTTGGTCCTCAAATAATTAAATATATATATATATATATATATATTTTTATATATTGTATCTTAAATAATATACATAGTTTATAATATTATGTATGGGTACGTTTATATTTGATTCGTTCGATGGAATAATAAAAGAATAGATGCTATATGTTTGTTTTTTCTATCAGAAAAAAAAAAAATATATATATATATATATGAAAAAGGATTTAATCGCAATATATATATATATATAAATTATATTTAATTTTTGTTTATATTAAAATAATATTTAATTCACGAAAGTTATGTTATATAAGTATAAATTATTTCTTGATTGTTAGTTTTGTAACTAGTAAGTACCCAAAAAAATAATTATGTTGTAACTTGTCGCAAGCTAGCTGTTATTTGCATATAGAGGCTATATAAATGAAGCAAGAAAAGCAGCAAAAGAATATAAGAAGAGAAACCAGCAGCAGAAACAAAATAATAATATTTAGCAACGTATATAGTTTGTTATAGTAAAGAATGGGAAGAGTACGCAGAATTAATATTAATCTATGGAGTGGTTGTTTGGTATTGGTATTGTTAAACATAACAAGCATAGACAAGGGTGATGCTGAGTTGAAAATGGAGAAAGAAGAGAAGGCCATGTTCGTGTTTGGGGATTCAATTTTTGACCCTGGAAACATTGTATATGTGAAAGGCCGTGAAAAGTGGTTGGAATCACTTCACTGGCCTTATGGAGAAACATACTTCAAACATCCCACTGGAAGATTCTCAGATGGCCGCATAGTCCCTGATTTCATAGGTCACTTATATTATATATATATCTTTTATTTCTTTCTACGTTTTTTTGCTATTCATATTATATATCTGCATGTAAATATCCTTCTTCTGCAGCTACTTTGGCAGGGTTGCCTATGCTTTCACCATATCTGCAACCACACCCTACTCCATTTACTTATGGTGCTAACTTCGCTGCTGGTGGAGTCGGTGTTATCGTTGGTCAGGTATACCACATGTATATATCATTTACTTTTAGATGTTTACATTGTTTTCTCATTAGAATAAGACTTTCATCTCAATAATTACATAATTATTTAATATAAATCTTTATTACATGAATTATTGAACTATAATTTTAATTTTAATTAGAGAATAACACAAAGTTGCAGTTGTATCTAATTAAGTTTTGTCCATATAGTAATTAAAATCAAAATTTAAAAGTAGTGTTATAAAAAATTGATTTGGATTAATCAACGTAAGGAATCAATATTATCAAGAACCGGTGATATGATGTATGTTTGAATTGGTGGCGAGTTAAATTCACTATGATTTTTTTAAATAACAAATAGTTATTTTTAGTAGTGAATTTTTTAGTGATTTTGAATTAATTCATTATGATTTTTTAGTACCAAATCAAATACACTAATATATAGTTGTTCCGAGTAGTCATTGAGTTAAAAATATATAATTTAATAATGCAATTAGATTAAAATTGATTTTCTACCACCAAATCAACCAACACATTAATTATTTTTTTATAAAAATATAATTTAATAATGCAATAATTAATTATATATGTCATAACTTATATAATTAAAATTTTCTCTTAGATAGTTTTTAAGCCGTCTATCTTAAAATCATTTTCATGTGTAAATATATTTTATAAAGCCATTGTTCTCGTACACAAGATCTTTACAGTTGTCTTTCCCACATATCAATCTATAAGATTTGTTTTGACATGAATAGGTAAAATGTACTTTGTTGTTTTCAGATTAATCTTCCAACACAATTGAATTATCTCAAGCAAGTAGTGAAGTCACTGAAACAGGAACTAGGAGACAGAGGAGCCAAGAGAATTTTGGAAAAAGCTGTTTACTTGTTCAGTTTTGGTGGCAACGACTACCTTAACTTTCACAGCCAAAACCCCAACAGTACTAAGTCAGAGAGGAGGATATACATTGACCTTGTGATTGGCAACCTCACTAATGGCATCAAGGTGAACTAAAATATCCCTATCCTACTTTTATTCATCGGAATCAAAATCCCTTTGTTATATTCTTTTGTCACATAAATTGTAATATTAATGTCTGATATAGTATGAATGGATTTTTAACTTGTTAGTTGCATTTAATTTAATCACAGGCTGTATATAGTGTAGGAGGCAGGAAATTTGCATATCTAAACATAATGCCTATAGGTTGTGCACCGATCAGCAGAGTAGTGAGTAGTGGTGCTTGTGAACAAGAGTTGATGGAAATGGCAAGAGAACACAACAAAGCTTTCTCCAAAGCTCTTAAGAAGTTAGAGAGGGAGCTACCAGGATTTAGATACTCAATATTTGATTATTATAAATCAATTATAGACAGAATAAAGCATCCATATAAATATGGTAGGTATTTAACTGATTAGCATTTCTATTGCCAATTAATGTTTGCTTTCTATGATTAAGATTAAACTTTTTAAAATGAAGGACTTAAGGAGAGTAAGACAGCATGTTGTGGTGTTGGTCCCTTCAGGCGTAGTGGTTGCGGAGAAAACCGGACATTTGAGGTATGCAGTGAACCGTTTGAATATTTATGGTTTGATCAAGGGCATCCAACTGAAAAGGTGAATCTCCAAATAGCTGATCTCATATGGAGTGGTCCACCAAATCTATGTGCACCTTACAATGTCAAGACGTTATTCGGATATTAATAGTATTTGTAATTTTTATCATATACTATATATGTTTAATTAATTAGATATTAAGGGACTCAATAATGTAATGCATCAAACCATTAGCTAATTGCCATCAAGATATTTCATATGGAACTACTCCCGCTATTGTGCTCTCATATTTTTAATTTAAATTAAAGTTTGCATAAAATAAAAATAAAAAACCATGGCTCGGAGTTTCGGGACTTACAATATCAACCAATATTACTTGAAAAAAAAATTGGAGATAGAAACGAAAATAGTTGGAGAGACTAATGAAAAAAGTTATAAAACTGATTGTTAGTAAAAGATCGAGAAAATATATATATAAATATGATGGAGAAGGTAGGAGGAGTGAATGGAGTTCTTCTCCTTAACTTTTTCTAGGCACGGATCTTCTTCAAAGGAGGTGGAATTCGAAGCTCAAGAACACTTGAATGAGGATGAATCTCGGATGGAAAGAGGCTTAAGCCTTGAGATGGAAGTATCCAAGCTTAAGGTTCAAGGGAAAACTCACTTCAAAGAGGAGGAAAACCTAAGAGGAATCCTAAAAGTGTAGCTCTCTCTTCTCACAGTGACTTTTAAGGAAATTTGGCTGAATAAGCTCTCAAATTTCATTAATCTCAAAAGTGAATACAATAGGTGAAGGAGGGAACATTTAAGCATCCGAAAATAGGAGGACACTTGGCGCCACATGTGAGGCCACCATATTGGCGCCAAGATTTGAATTCAAATTTGAATTTGAATTCAAATCTTGTCACACATGTGTATGACCGGTCCCATGAGTGCTAGGTGTATTTAAGTTTGATTTAGTGTGCATTTAGGGTTGAATTTGAGTCACACATGTTCAGCCAAGGTAGCATTATCCATGTGACTCAAAATGCAACTTAAATGCATGCTAAATTAAACCTAATTTTGCCTAATTCACTTAAACTAATAATCCCTTAAATCCTAATCTAATGACATAAATACAATGGTCAATGAAATACAATGAATAGGAAAAATTACAAGAAAGAGAATGAATCCAATATTGGGTATTAAAAACCCAAAGCTCATGGAGCCCAATTACAAGCCCAAAGTTCACAAACCCTAATCTATGGTCAAAATATAAGACCAAAATATAGTAACTTCCTACTCTATGAATTTGCAATATAACATAAAAAGAATGGTCATATCAAAGTAAGCCCAAGAGAAGTTTGATTTGGGCCCTTCAAGCCCATGAGGCCCATTAGGCCTTGACTGACTCAATCCTCCAAGTCTAGCCCACTCCTCTTAGATCTTGTAGTGTGTCACCTCTTGCATTCCAAAGTATGATTCCATCAAAATATATAGTTATAATTACACCGATGCAACTTTTACTAAGTATTAGACCGCTCAATAACTTTATATTAAATGTGAATTTTATAAATCCAATTGTTAGATTGAAAGTTCATATCACTTTATACGTATATATCAAATTTTGTTAAAATTGAACAAGAACTTAAAAGTAAGCAAAACTTTCATATTTTAGTATATTTTGAAATGAATATAATACTTTAATTTTGTTTTATAAAAATAAAGTATTAAATCATCTTGGATTAATATAAAATTTTGTGTATATAATCTAAGAGTAAGAAACTTTTAATCTAACGGTTAGATTTACAAAATTCACATTTAATATAAAGTTATTTAACGATATAATACTTGGTAAAAGTTACATCAGTGTAATTATAACCCCTATATATATATATATATCAGAACTTAAACTTAAGTATTTTTAATAAATTATTATATAAGTTAAATAATAATTTTTGAAAATCATTCATAAAATATTTTATAAATTTATTCAAATATTCTCATAAAAATTTATAAAATACAGTAAAATAATAATCATTTATAGAATAAAATAAATAAAAATAACATACATTTTTTTCTAGCCTATTTATCATTAAGTCAACTTTCATCGTTCAACTTGAATATATTTTAGTCTATGAAATAGTTTTTATTATGAATTCTAAAATAGCAAAAAGATCTTTATATTTTTAAATTTTAAAATCACTTATTTTTTAATTATAGTAAAATAAGTAAATTTTAATTTTTTTTCTTTAATTCGTATCCTTCAAAAAAAATTAAAATTATTATTTTTTGATGTCTAACATTTATAAATAAAATTACCGCGATCTATATCTAAGACGGAAGGAATATAGCATATTAAAACGTAGGGCCTTTGGATTGTATAGCAGTGGAGAGAGCGGTGAGTAACCTATTCAGCACAGCACCGACGACGCGTGTCCATTTACATGCGAACCCTTCCTATATACGTGTAGATCATGCACAACTTCAATTTAATGCGTTAGAATGAGAATTGGACGAAGAGGTGTGAAATAAATAATACATTGCCATTTTTCTAAACAATATTATAATAATAATAATAATAATAATAATTTGTACATATTATAAAAGAAATATATTTTAATAAAATGAACAATTATATTCCTTAAATATAAAATAAATTATACCTTTTTTATAATATTTATCTATAAATAATTATTAGAAAGATAAAGTGCCTCAATCTTTTAATAATAATAATATGTTGTAGTAATAACATGTGTAATTGGCTTAATTTACACAAAGATAACTGAATCTATAAATTTCTCAATAATAGTCTAGTCTTTTTAATTTTAGCCGAGTATATTGTCAGTAGTCGAGACTCGAGAATAGGTATTTTTTGCTCACACAAATTTAGAGATAGAAATCCTAACTATATATTAGGGTAGATAATTATAGGCTAAAAACCTATTTTGGTTCCTTATAATCTTTTTTGTTTTAATTTAATTTTTTATTAATTTTTTATCTCAATTTGGTCTCAAATTAATTAATTGATTTCAATTTAGTCCCAAATTAATTAATTGGTTTCAATATGGGACTTTCCGTCCAAATTGCTTTAATGGTGTTAATTTTTGGCCACGTGGACGCCACGTAGATGCATACGTGGATGTCACGTGGATGAGAATTTTTTTGAAAACACCTGGACCCAGAACGGCCCGTTCTGAAACCGGAACGGGCCGTTCTGGTGCACTTTTGGTGTGTTAATTTTGCATCCGGAACGGCCCATTCCAGGTGCAAAATTAACACACCGAAAATGCAACCAGAACGGCTCGTTCCGGTTTCAGAACGGGCCGTTC